TGGCGATGGCTTATAGGATGCGGCGTTCTCAGGGCTAAGACAGCAAACAGTCTCAAGAGCATTGCTTAATTCATATGACAAAAATAAAGTCAAGGATTTTGAGGTCAGTTTCATCAATAAATATTCATGGTCTCTAGCCTGGTTTCTGAATCTGCAGCAGTTCTCAGACCCAGAGCTCATGGACTGAAGGAAGGCCGAGTCCCATAAGGAAGGCTCCAGCAACACCATGAGCAGTGTGTCTGGCAATCACCGCCCTAGTTCTTCCCCGGTGGGACCTAAAGGACACTCATGCACTGTGGAATGGGTACACATAGACACTTTGAGGATTTCTAAACAAAAGGACTATGTGGAAATTGATTTTCAGGGATCATAAATGTCATTGTGACATCTTGTTAGAGTGGAGTGTGTAGGACCCAGATCACTGGTGGACCCCTGGCCCAGGTCTGGCTCACATGTATTCTCTCAGCTGGGCCCAGTGGCCGCTTCCCTGGTCCCCAGTGTAACATTCAAATGGACACAGTCCATGGCAATTGCCTGTGGTGCTGTAGGAGTGGCTACTGTGGGAAAGGCCTGGTGGAAGCTTCTAAACTTCTCTGCAGCAGGCACCCCCTGCCCCACCACACCATAGCCCAGGTAGGAAATTTTTAAAAAGTTGCATCCTGGGAGAAATGGCTAATATTGGTGCCGCTTTTTAGGAGATACACTATGCATGAGTGGTGGTTGCCATTTAATTTAACTACCTGTCTCCTATAAAAAACCAGCTAGATCCTATGGATGGTGGTAGACTTCCAAAGAGTCCTTGGTTGGAGAGAAGTCTGGAGAAAGTCAGGCACATGCTTCCAGGAGTTTCCTCTAAGTGACGTCACATGAGACACACTTAATTCTCTAGCCAAGTTGTGTGACACGTTCAGAGTGCTACCAATCAGGAAGAGCACCTGAGGCTTACCGTCCATGGTTCACACTGAGGGTCAATCGATTGCGTTGGCACACAGCACCTGCCTGTCGTGCCTCCGTCACTGAAGCACCAGACACCATCGATCCCATTGTTGGTATAAACTATCTACACATCGGCACCATGTGGCTCCAGGCCCCGTGAAGGTGAAAACACTCCTATGAGACATAACATGCCCATGGAAGCTTCTAGAGTCCTGTTTGGCAAATCTTGCTTAGCAGAGCACAGTTCTCTGTTTCCTATTGATCTGTATGGATCCACTGTTCTCCCATTACATTGTTTCCTGGTTCTAGATGCAATTGGTTTCTGTTGTGCACAACCATGATAGTTGACTGGTGGACTACATACAACTCAGAGAAATATAAAATTTAAATAAATAGTTGAATTATGTTTTGGAATCTTAATGGATTTCAAATAAAGTTAGATTTTTTTATTCCCATTTTATATACCACTTGCAGGGTACCAGAGATATTCAATGACTAATTGGTAGTAATTTTGTCCACAACAATTATGAAATAAAACAATGTTTTAACATAAGTTGTTTTATCATTTTATCATTTTAGAGCACCTGCTGTACATATTCATTTGTGGCATTAGTTGTTAGAGGAGACGTCACTCCTATGTCTGATATGGCACATTTATTGGTTTGGATACTATGACATATTTAAAATTCATGGCATCTTGCATGCATACTCACTTTATTACTGCAGATTAGAATAAGAGATAGCTAGTTCTTCCAGGACAGTCAGACATTGGTCTTCTTATCCTACACACTTAGCCAATTGTCTGTGAAAACACAGGGTAATGGTGAGTTATCGGCAAGCTAAATCACTGGTTTGGCTGTGAATCCCATGCTCCAGAAAACAGCAATCTGATACCTATTTACTACTGCATCCGATGTCAATAGAGTTAGAGTAATAGTATCTTATATGTGATAAATATATCATCCTTCAGAAAGGTTGCAGTTGACTAATTAGAACTTACTCTTTCTTAAACTTGTCTCCACCCTTTAGGAGGCTTCAGTCAGGAACATCTTGCAACTCGTCTAAGCAGAAATATGTGGACGATGGCTTTGCCCTTTCTGCCAATCATCTGTGTGTGATCTGAGTTGGACAGTCATGCTCTTTTTACTGTGACTGGAGAAATGTTAGTACCACTTAATTCTAGGACACAAGACTTACTGAAAATGCAATTGTGATTCATTTTAGTACTTAAATATTGAAAAATATGAATAGATAATCAGGTAAAAATTAGTCTAATTATGTCAGTTATGGCATACAAATCTGAGCCCTGTTATGACATTTTAATTAGTAGTTGAGGATATAATCCTCATTACTATGTACTAAAGCAATGTACTTTTTATTACATTTTAGAACCTAAACTACTATATCTGTCAGATTTTATGTTGGGCATTGCTGAAAGCAAAATGAATAGTGTTGTCTCTACCTTTGAGCAGCTTCACAATCTAATGTGTGAAAGAAATAAATCACTCAATAAATGCAACAAGTATTACAATTGAAAGATTCACAAAGTAGAGTCAGGTGAGAATGGTACCTGAAAACTGAGACACTGGAGCCAGGAGGGGTGTGGTGTGGTGGGTAGGGGTGGTGTGGAGGAGAAAGAACACTCAGCATGAGCCTGAAAACCAACATGCAACTGAGACATGAAGAAATCTCATGCTAAGAAAGCCAACAGACCTGCAGTTGTGGCAGAATGCATAAGAGATAGTTAAATTTATGGAGTTCAACCAAGACTTGGTAATAATCACATTAAGGGCGATCAGAAAATGAAAGAATTATATGGGAAAAGGCAGAAATAAAGCTATAAAATTAGAATAGTTGAATGTAGAGAAAAACTAATGAGAGATACTAAAAGAAAAGTCACTGAGCTAAATAAAAACAGTACACAAGATAAACTTTAGGTTGAGCATTGTTAAAGGAAGAAGTACTAAATTGGAAGAAATGCTGTGGTATTCATTCAGAATGCAGTATAAATAAAATTTAACTCTACCTATCTAAATTTATATTGAAGTTTTAAAATTCACATACACATATATGTGGTTGAGACATGAACATTATGTAGGAAGACCACAGCACCTGTCTGATGGGAGACCCAGAAGTAGAGGCCGAGGAGGAGGGTGGTAAATTAAGTTGCCATCCAGCAAATGCTCACCCCAGCACCCCTCCAGCCCTCCTTGGGACAGTGCGCATCCCTGCTCCATTAGTGCTGGTGTATGAATAGCATTAGTGCTGATGAAAGACAAAGCAAAGATCCACTCGGAAGATACTATAATTATGACATTTTTGTGCATCTATCACAAAGCTTCAAAATATATAAAACAAAAATTGATAGAGTTAGATGATATAATTTATACCAGAAACTGTAGATCAAGCAATAACTCATGGGTAAGTATAGGGAATATTTATTTAACAAAATCAAGTAATACAATCAAGTGGACACATGTAAAATATTTATTATTCCCAAATGCACAGAAAACCATTTCCATGAGATATTTCAAAGAATGAGTAAATATCAGTCATTCTTTCAAGACAATGTAATGGATTTAGAGATTATTAGTTAAAAGATAGCTTTCAAAATTTTATACTTTTGGAGAAAAGAAAGCATTCCTAAATAATTAAAACTTCCAAGAAATGTCCTAATGACAGTTACAAAATATTTAAAAATAAATGGCAATAAGAATAATTCTGAAGTAAGTTAAAGGAAGAAGAATTAAAAAAGACAGAAAATAAATACAAAACTAAGAAACAAAAGAAAGGATCAAACAGGTTTTGAAAAACTACTTTAATAGAAAAACCTGTAGCAAAACTAATTTTAAAGAAGAAGGAGAGAGAGAAGAGGCAGAAGCAAATGATACTAGCAACATAAAGGAATGATAACCAGATAGAGTAAATATTTGTTTACTTGTCCGATTTGGGGTTTTTTAAATTGTATATATTTAAGGTATACAACATGACATTTTGATATACCCATACATGGTGGAATGATTACCACACTCCAGCAAATTAACATACCTATCTCAAACAGTTATTTTATTTTTTAATTTTATTTTTAGTGTGGTAAGAGCACCTGAAATCTACTCTCTTAGAAAATTTTCACCATTCAACACAATAGTATTACCTGTAGTCTGCATGCTGCACATGAGATCTCCTCCCCTCTCATCCTACATAATTGCAACTTTGTACTCTTTGGTGGGTGTGTCCCCACGCCCCGCCCCCACCGCCTCTGTAATGATGCTTCTGCTCTCTGTTGCTCACATATTTGAGTTGTTTAGATCCCACATATCAGTGGGATCATGCAGTCTAGAGAAACAGTTTAAAAGAACCATAATGTCATAATACAATGAGTATTTTAAATACATTTGAAAATGTAGCTGACATGAATAATTAATTTTATAGCAGTGCACATATTACCAAAATTGTGTTAAGAAAGAATGCACAGCTGGCAAAACCAGTAGCCACCAAACAACTGAAACAGAGACTGAAATGGTCACCACTCAGGGTAAAGTGTTAGCCAGAGCCGGTGGAGTCTGTGGGAGGGCAAAGCAATCCATATACCAAACATTACTATGCTAGAATAAAACTTAGTTTTGGGGTCAATAAATAATACCGATACAATGTCATGAATTTCCCCTCATCATGAGGGGAAATGAGTTCCACCTGTCTTTTGTCATTCCACCTTCAATTTCTAAGTCACTCTCCATCTGCCCGTCAAATTCTACTGCATTCGAGCCGTTTCCAGGAAGCGTCCGTGTTCCAGAGTTCCTGCGAGCATGCGACTCTCCTTGCTTCGCCGTGTCTGCGAGTGCCTGCCACCTCCCGGTAGACTGCAGGTGGCCCCTACTCGCCCAGCCGGGGCCTTTGGTAGAGTGTGTGACCCTATCCCTCAGCCGCGGAGATACCTGGGTATCAGCTCCCTCCCTGTAGTAATTAGAACTGTTAAGTTGTGACATGAAAGAAAGTGAGTTCCAAATAGCATCTGCCACGCCAGACGGCACCCACTGGCTGCCCTAGCCTGGCTGTGGCCTCCTCATCTCAAGTTACGGCAGCTCGGGCCAGCCAGCCTGGGGCTTCTGCATATAAGGTGTGCTCAGGGTCCCAGACCACTGCCACAGTCATTGCAGACTGCCTCTGGCTGAGCCCGCTTGGGTGATACAGACTCTTTCAGATCAGTAAGAATTGGTGCTTTCAAAGTGTGTATTTTCTGAAGAAACTTTAGACCTGTTTATTTTAAAAGAGCAAACTGGAGAAAACAAATAGGTGAGTGATTGACTATATCATGACTGTGCTAACATTTTCACTGACCTTTTAGGTTTGGTTTAGTTGGAATAATAAGTTCCATGCTTTGTTTGTAGTGGGCATAGAGTTTTTCTTTGTTTTCCAACTAAATACATTAGTTGATCACATTTTTTTGTTTATTATATTATGTTTGATTGCAATATTGTATAAACTTTTAAATTCCTTTATCAGTATTTATTACATGATAAATGATGTTGCTTTGCAATATGTGCATGGAAAAGGAAAACAAAGCCCGTGTTGTTAATATCAAAGTCTCTTTTCTCAGACGGCTGCTCAGGCCTTGCAGGCACCGTGTCACGAGTAAAGCCATGGCGTCCGTACCTTCCATCGGTTGCCTTCTGGCCAAAAATCAGTATTATCGCAGTAAGTTGCTGCATCAGTGGGGACTATCCCTAGATAATATGATTTGAGGTGATGTTTGGGGACTTTCTTGACCTATGTGTCATGTCATGTTCAGAACTTAAGGCAGACACTGACAACTCTGCAGGCCAGGGAGGACACAGGACAGCAGCTGTTGGCTCAGCCCGCTGCTCCAGCTCTGTGATGTCAATGGGCCGTTAACACACGAAAATAGGCTAGTGTTTCCTAGTTATATTTTAGCTTAATGTATCTTGCATTTCACAGGATACTTTAAAAACAGATATTTTACATAAATAAAATGTTATTCAATTCCTTAGAAAAAAAGGGATAGCAAGATTCTGCTTTAAAGATTTTATCATTTTCATTTTCTACTGTGGATAATAAGTCAGCATTTATCTGGCCAGTTTTATTTTTATTAATTTGTCCATCAGTGCATGTTTATAGCTGAATATAAAATTATAGCTTCTTAAATAAGATTAAATATTTCATAAAATAAAATGAGCATTTCAGAACCAAATTAGCATTTATTGAAGGTACCCATGCCAATAAAATGTAAAAAACTCTCATTTTAAGGGTTGTTTGTAGCAGTTAGAAACATCTGTTTATTTATTCTTCTTACAAAAACTTTTAAAATGCCCATTTACTTGGTGTTTTATCAACAGAAATTATTTGTATTCTGGTTTTAAAAGACATAGGCTTAAAATACAAGTCTGAAAAGACAAATGAAGTGTTTTATTCTTATAAAATAATTCCTTAATTTCTAAATTTGGTAACTTTTATAGAATTTTGAATATCTACATATGTAATATTTCTAATATAGGACAATAATATCCATTCTTGATTCTGCACTAAGTTTTTGAATTTGATATTTATAATATATTTTAAATTGTCCATATTTATCTCTGGGGAGAGAAAGAGAGAGAGCTGTCCATGATGGAAATGAATATACCTTATTAGCAGAAAATGCAGTATTACTTATTATGGAAGATTGTTAGTGATTGATGATTTGATTGATTTTTCAATTCATGAATTCGCAGGCCAGCAGTAAATGACTTCAAACCAAGCTGCGTGAGAGGTTGCATACAAATGATGTGTGTGTGCTTGTTTGTTTGCCAGTTACTCATTTGTTTATTATCTTTTGTTTCCTGCAGAATCCAGTGTTTCTTCTGTGACTTCTCTAACTGGCTCTGATTCTGTTAACTTCGTAGATGAGGACAAATCCCAGCAAGGTACCTAGTTTATTTCTTATCCGTGTTACTCTTATTATTTCTCTTTGTTTTTACTCTCTTGAATTTTTTTGATAGAGGAGTATTGTGAATTTTATTTGATAGGGTTACCAGAAGTGGCAGAATCCACCTGGTGGTTTAAGTCCTTTTTCCACTCAGAACCTGTGCTTTCCAATGTGAGAATGAAAGGGCTGTCTGCTAGTGGGTAAGTGTCCGCCCTTTCCGATGAGGACGTTTCTTACTTGGCGAATGGCACAATGCATGTAATAATTGCTATGTTACCCAATCATGATGACAGGCAGTTAGTTGTCCCTTGAGGGTGACGAGGCTTTGAATTGAAACACACCCTGAGATGGGTGTCCCTCATTCTGTTCAACCAGCAGTGACGGCGTGGTGCTCTTTCTAACTCCATCACTGAATGTGATTGGAGAGTCGTCTTTGTGTCACTGTGTGGCAAGGAATGGATTGGGATTCACAGAAAGGTACGGAATTTGTTTTTCCAACACTTTCAGGAAAAGAATAACGAATGTCCAGCTGCTGTCATAGATTAAAACTGGTGTAGTCCCATGGCTGGTTTCCATTAGCTTCTGTGCTGTGCCAATCACTAGGTAGAGTGAATGGGTGGGTTTGGTATAGCTATTCCCATGCATTTGAACTCTAATACACTGAACAGCATAGTTATCCTAATATTTTTCGATATTATTATTAGAACTCATTTCATTTTTTAGACACTTTAATGACTAGCTACTAAACGGAATAGGAAGAATACATAAAAATGGAGTTTATGGATTCTGAAGTTAAAACGATGGTTTTGATGAATTTTCCACCTAAGATAAATTTAAAATAGAATCAATATTTTAAAGAAAAATGTAAGGCTAATTGTTAAAAATATATTTTCTTTATCAAATTTATTGATTTTAATTATGCAGATAGGTTTTTAAAATTTTATTTATCCACTTTACTTGACTGTGAAGACAACCTAAATTACAATAAGAATTTTATATTACTTACATTAATACATTAATCATCTTCATATTGCCATTCAGTGAACATGTTGGTAATAGTTGACTATTTCACACAGCAGTACTAGTTGATTCCGACGATCAAGATATTCTATCTGCTGCAGTGCCACGTAGGTGACCCTCTATCTGCCAGCACTCCAGCTATTCCAGAGGACTCTTCTCCATCGTAAGAAGACAAAAACTTGGCTGAGATCTCACCTATGAGACAAGATCACAGCAGCCACCAATATAGCAAAAGTTTATGCATTTTCCACAACATTAAGACCATCATTGCAAGTGGCAGTGGCTATTTAAAAAGCAAGCCTTTAGAAACATGTAACTTTTCAAAGTAATGAGAGCCTTCAAGTGCAGTGATTTATATAAAGTAGCCCCGTCATTATGTTTATTAAAAATTTTAAATTAGACTATTTGACTGTTTTTATTTTTATTCTTTTTTTTTTTTTTTTTGACAGTCTCACTCTGTTGCCCTAGCTAGGGTACAGTAGCCTGATCATGGCTCACTACAACCTCAAACTCCTGGGCTCATGTGATCCTCTTGCCTTAGCCTCTGGAGTAGTTGGGACAATAGGCCTGCACCACCATGGCCAGCTAATTGTTTCCGTTTTTCGTAGAGATGGGGTTTTGCTCTTGCTCAGGCTGGTCTTGATTTCTTGACCTCAAGCAATCCTCCCACCTCAGCCTCCCAGAGTTTACCAGGATTACAGGCATGAACCACCATACTTAGCCTAGACTTTTTAAATGTCTGTTGAATGATTTATTATGCCTTAAAACTGAAGCATCAATGCTTCATATAATGATTAAAAGAACACTGGATTCATAAGTACAGAAAAGAGTTGCAAAAATTGCATTTTTAATTGTAAAATTTGGAATTAGCAAACATATCCTTAAGTATATTACCTGCTGAATATAGTATTGTACATCTAACCAATTTATGATTCTGTAGAATTTTAAATTCCTGATTTTAAATAATATTTTACAAGATGGAAAATTATTATAATATAATATAAATGAAAAAAGCAGGATAACGTACTATATATGGTGTGATGTCAGTTGTACATATGCATAAGAATAAATTAAAGAAACCACACAAAAATAGTAAAAGTTGCTATTTCTAGAGATGGGATTATGGGTGATTATCATTTTTTTTCTTTATACATTTTTCTGTATCTTCAAATGTTCTAACATGACAAGTTTTTGCCTATAAGTAGAAAATAATAAATTTTAATATAAAAGAAACACTGGAATAAAGTTCTCAAGGTGTATATTCCCTACACTGAATAGATTATTCCATATTTTCCTCAAAACTGGGTAGATAAAACCTAATGAATTTTATTTGCTTGCAAATATTAATATTTTTCAATGTACAATGTGAGGAGTAGATATTAAGGGCACTGCACTCACTTAAAAGTAGATATCACTGCAGTCCTGTGGTTAATGTTGCCTTAAACATCCAGTAAAGCCCACATGGTTGTTTGATAGTAAAACTGCCTTCTTATCCAACTGCATAGCCACAACAAAGCACTGAGAATGACTATTCCCAGTAAAAATGCAACTGTCCAATTGCTTACTCTTTTCAAATGGGAAAAGCATTCCTTCAACTTTGTGTTCCTCTGTCATTTAACTGTCAATGAAAAAACTCAGTTATCACTTTGGCCCATATTGTTGCTTACATATTACTGCTTTCTAGGTGGTTTCCTGTATGAATCCTTTTCATATGTTTTTAAAGACTGATTCAATTTTGGGGACATATATTTCATTTGGCTTTAGTCTAAAATTAAGTCATGTGATTATAGACTAATTTTTTTAGGTGAGATAAAAATATTGTGAAACAAAATGGTAAATTATGGGAGGTCTGTTTTTACTTTAATATCATCAACAAATTCCATTTTGCTTAACCACTTGGTATATGTGTGAACAGATTGCTTATTTAGGTTATTTGATGAATTTCCTGAAAAAGTCTATCAAGTTGTTATACTTTGTTTATTCAGAAAGATACCATTTGTTTAATTATTTTTATTAATCTATTTTTTTGGCCTATGTGTTTGTAGCATTTTGAATGTGTCAAAAATTATAGCTTTTATATCAGTTTAGACTGGGTGTTGATGTTTTGGAAAATTATTATGGTTTTAAGTAGTTGAAAGCAATCTTAAGTAAAAAGAACAAACTGGGAGGTATCAATCTACCAAACTTCAAGCTGTACTACAAGACTATAGTAGTAACTAAAACAGTATGGAAGTGGCCCATGAACAGAGACATAGACCTTTGGAACAGGACTGACAATCAAGAGATGAAACCATCTCTATATGGTAAGCTAATCTTTGACAAACCAGACAAAAATATACACTGGGGAAAAGAATATCCTTTCAATAAATGGTGCTGGCAAAACTGAATAGCTACACGCAGAGGATTGAAACTGGATCCCCACCTCTCACCTCTTACGAAAATCAATTCAAGAAGGATAACAGACTTAAACCTAAGGCATGAAACCTTAAGAATCCTAGAAGAAGATGTAGGGAAGACCCTTTCAGACACTGGCCTAGGCAAAGAATTTTTTAATAAGACCCCCAAAGCAATCACAACAGCAACAAAAGTAAATAAATGGGACCTGATCAAATTAAAAAGCTTTTGCACAGCCAAGGAAACTATCATTAGAGTGAATAGACAGCCTACAGAATAGGAGAATTTTACTTAATATTTTAAATCAAACATACCATAATCATATATAGTTATTTAGAACTTTAGAATTGTTACACACACACACACACACACACACACACACACACACAAAAGTGTGAGGATGGATGGATAGATAGCTAATCCTGAAAAAATATAAGAAATCTCTCTGGAAAGTAATGTTAAAATGAACTGATAAAATTATTAAAAAATTGAAAGAATTCCTGAATGCTATTCCAGAGTTTCTACAGAATTAGGATGATAGAAATAAATAAAAAGAAAATATATATTTTGGTTAATTCTAGCAAATTTCTTCTGATTTATAAGAATACACACCGGTGCTGTCTTTAAGAAGTACCTCGCAAGTAGATCTCAGCATAAGTGTGTTGTTTTAGTTAAAATATCTCCTGCCTGCCCTTGTTGTCTATTGAGTAGACAATAGTGAAGGCCTAATGTTAGGGAGGTGCCATCAATCCAGATGTCTTGAGATGCAGTGCGACCATTCTAATCTGACAATATGAAATATTATTTGACTTCAAGTGGATATCTGTGTTAAGTGCTGCAAGATTTTGACATTTACACTCAGGTTCTTTGAACTTATATGTTAGGGTTTCATTAGTGTTTTTGGAGATAAGGTTTTGATAGTAGGTTTCAAGTTATTTACCCCATATCCTCTAAAGATAAAACCACCACTGCCAGTCTATTAATTCTCACTAGAGTAAAACCTTCTTGAGCTGGAACTTAGGCCTACACCATATGTAAAATTTCAGGTAGTAGGAAACAAAAATGAAGACTTGCATTTGGTTACTAAAGAATGGTGATAGCTAAAATTATTTCCAAGAGTGAAAGTCAGGTTAAATGGAATAGAGTTAAATAAAGAGTCATGATTTATCCAAGCTCTGTATGAAATCTCTGACTTAGTACGTCACAGCCAAGCTCACGGTCTTTATACTTCATGGTATCTCCTTGTGGCATCTTCTGTCTCAGATAATGATAACACCCTTTATCAGCTCAAGCAAGTGGCAAGTTGTCCTTGATGTCTTCGCTCATGTCCAGTCCAACACCAAGTCCTTTCAATTTTATTTTAATGTTTCTGGCATCTATCTACTTATTTTCTTTCCCACTAGCACTACCTTAATTCAAACTTCCATCATTTCTCTTCTGGAATATCACCATGACCTTTTAATTGATCTACCAACACCATTTTTATCTCTCTTCAATATAATGCCCTCTATGAAGTGGCCATATTCGTCTTTACAACTTATAATAATTCATAATAGTATAATACTCCCCTATGAATATGCACACTCACACTTTCACATTCAAACCCACAGTTGCAATTGCTCCGCTTACACTCAGGGTAAAGTCACAGCTCTTGCCACCCTTCCTCAGTCCAGCCCTGCTCATCTCTGGCATCTGTGCCCTCCTGCTCCCCACAGCTTCCTGCGTTCCAGCTACATCAGCCTTTTCTCAGTCTCTCCTATATGCCATCTTCCCTGTTGCCATAGGATCTTTCTATACCCTCAGCTTAGAATCTCCTCACTTAATGTCTTCTCAACCTTTAAAACTTAGCTCAAAAGTTACTTCCTCAGATAAACCTTCTCAGACCTCCTTGATTCAACTAGATTTTCCATTATCACCTCTGCTAGCCCATGTTTATCTCCTTCCTGGCACTGCTCATAGTTATAATTTTACACTTGTCTGTGTTGTTATTTGGTTAATATAGGTTTTATCCACCACACTGTGAACTACTTGAGGGCTCATCACTGTGCCCACTCTCTGCCTGGCAGCAAATATTTGTCAAGTGAATGGTGATGGCTTATTAGCCAGGACAGACGCCACCATCAAGCAGCATTACTTTCAATAAGAAGGAAAAAACACTAAATCAATAAAGGAATAAAGAAAATATTTTCCAGTAGTGAAACATGCTGGAAAGGATATAAAACAAGGTGTTTTGTTGGAGAATGACTGAGATAGGACAAAGGGAGAGGGAGGGCCAATTCGAATTGTGTAGTTGGGAAAAGACTCAGTAAGAAGTTGGCTTGGGGTCTGAGTCCTGAAAGAGGAAACGTGGCCAGTTTTGTGAAAAGTACCCTGGACATAAAAAATACCCAATGCGATGTACCACACTGGACAGTGTCCCCATTCTCTTGTTAGGTGTTGTCACAAGGCAGCTGCTTCGAAGAACTTAGCACTTTCCATGTAGACATCAAATTGTTGACAGCCTTTGTTCCTGATAAACTCAGACTGAGAAATGGTGGGGTTTGGGGTTATGCCCCTTCTCCTTAAAGTCCCTCACAGGGATTATGCGTCATTCAATCACACTGCACAGCAGCGCGCGCGTACAGCTCCCGCCATCTCTCACGGTTAGTGTGCGGACTTTGCGTCCTGGAGGGCAGGACCTCTCCTGTGTCTCCAGTCTCTGAAATAGTTTTCCAAACTAACACGGTAAGTTTTTCCCTATAATTTTCCTCCCACCTCTCATACCAAACAGTAAAATACATTGCTATTATTTAAAAGATTCTTCTGTATTTTCTTTTTGACAAATTATCTTCCTAGAACTACTTTATGTCAAAAAAAAAAATAACTTGAAAAAGGGAGTGCTACACTATCATGTCCTCACTTAGAGTTAAGAAGACCATATTTCCATTCTGGTTATCTGAAAAATTTTCCCCCATGATAGTCTGATTATTTGGTTCTCAAAAGGACCAATAAAAGCAGATGATGTGTTTCC